AGATGTCTACAGGGAAATTAAACAATTTTTAGTTCATTACTTTAGAACTTTTTTCTTGATAATTTGCACCTGTAAAATGCATTGCTAATAGTTACAGAATGATTGTTACAAAACGTATCTATAATTAGCTAGCTAGCTAAACACATACATACACAAGCACACACAAACTTTCTATTAACATAAATAGCTTGCAAAATCCTTGTCAGCCAACAAGATTATTTTTAATACTTCTCTATAGATGACTCTCCTTGTTTTCCTCCATAGTCATTCGTGCATATTAAAGCTAAATATATCAGTATTTCAAAATACGGGAATAAATATAATTCATAACTTTTAATTAAACGATTTGGGTTAAAACCAATCGAATTTTCTAAATTTGCACTCACGACCTTTCTAACTCGGATGTTTTGAGGGGGAGAAGCTTCTTTTAAAGTGTTTCCTAATTCTCTCTTTCATCGTTTCATCTTTCATCATTTAGATCAGGGGTCCTCAACCTTGGCAACTTTAAGACTTGTGGACTTAAACTCCAGAATTCTGGGAGTTGAAGTCTTAAAGTTGCCAATGTTGAGGACCCGTGATTTAGACGCATATCTACCAGTTCTCTACCTTGCCAAAGATATAGAAAAGTGAAGAATGACACATAATGTACATCTCTGCACGTTTCCCCTTTGTGTTGTAACATAGTAGGGGGTAAAAAGACGGCTCTAGTTTGGTTTTTTGATCGAATTTATACAACTACTTTGGCCACAGGAACGGTGGGTTTTGCCAGAAAAGTTGGGTTACTGCTCCTGGGATTTCCTAGCGCCTTCTTCTCCAAGGGCTACGGAGGTCTTCTCCCGATCCGTTTCACGAGATTTGCTGGATGCTGCAGTGACCAGGCGAGCAGCTTGAACAAAATAATGTAGAAATTCAATGTTTAGTTGCTGGCAAATAGTAATATGCGGGGTTATTCCCACGCTGCAGAATAGGGAGTAAAAAAAGCTGCTCGCGAGCCGATATTTGCAGACCGTCAAAAAGAATCCAATTCTTCACCTAAAAAAGAACCTTTACAATGAGAAGCTCAAAGCGGCTAACAGAAAGTCAACATTCACTTTTTGCAAGGCGTTTAAAATTTAGCGTGCCTGCATGCCCGCATTACGAGCTTTGTAACTGAACTTTAAATGTTACAGAAGAGATGCCCCTTTCAGAGTGGTAAGAAAGAATTAGCCTGAGAGACTCTTTTCCGATGAGCCTAGAGAGAGAAGCTGCAGCTCACGAAAACGTGTGCCTTTTTAATGGGTTAGCCAGAAAAGGTACTCCCAGTGCCCCGACTGAATGTGACCGAGGGAAGGGCAAGGAAACATTTTATTTTTTATTTTAATTTTTATTTTTAACCAACAAGACAAAACAGAACAAAGTAAAACATAACACACACACACACACACACACACACACACACAAACACATTATATACTCCTTTTTTACAGCAATTACGTAATGGTAATCTAATATTTACATTTCCCCCTTATTCTTCTTTAAATATTTGTCCTTATAGCCCCATTATTTCTTATTTACATTTTTCTTCCTTCATGTTCTACTTCTAAGAATAATTGATATTATTATTATTTTACATTATTATACACATATTTTCACTTTTGATCTTTCCATATTTATTTTCCTCTATTATTTCTAGTCTCCAACCAGACATACACCTTGTTCCATACTATATAATACTCTGTGTCTTCCTTTTCTTTTATCTCTTTTGTTAATTTGTCCATCTCAGCACAGTCCAGGATTTTTCTTATTACTTCTTCCTCTGATGGTATATTCTCATTTTTCCAGCACTGTGCATATGCTATTCTTGCCGCCGTTATTATATGTAAAATTAAGTACCATATTTCTTTACTATATTTTCTATTTAAAATACCCAACAAAAAGATCTCTGGTTTCCAGTCTACAGGTTGGTCTATTATTTCTTGGATCCATTTTCTTATTGTAGACCAGTATTTTTTTGCAACTGGGCATGTCCACCATAGATGATAATATGTTCCATGTACATTTTTACATTTCCAGCATGTTGGCGAATTATTCTGAAACATCTTGGCAAGCTTTGCTGGTGGAAGATGCCATCTGTAAAACATTTTCAACTGGTTTTCCTTGAATGCTGCCGACATAGTCAATTTTATATTTATTTCCCATATTTTTTCCCATTTCTCCAATTCTATATTATATCCGAAATTTTTTACCCATCTAATCATTGTGTCTTTGACAACCTCGTCTTCCATTTTATATCTCAATAGGTATTTGTGTAAATTGCTAATTAATTTTATTTCTGTTCCATGTATAATTTTACCCAATTCTTGCGGCTCTTTTTGGATTTCATATAATTTTTTGTCCTTTGTGTAAATGTCCACCAATCAATCTCTCTGCCAATGTCTTGTTCCAATTCTTGTTTTGTTTTCAAATTTCCCTGTTCATTTACTAATTCCTTGTATCTAATTATCTTACTTATATTCAATAGGTTTGGGTATTTCAGAGCTTCTGTTGGGGATAACCACATTGGAATTCTTGTATAATGTTTTTGTTTTATTTTTTCCCAAGTCTGTAGTAATGCATTCCTAACTATGTGTCTTTGAAAATATCTGTGTATTTTATGTTTTTCGTCCCATAGGAATGCATGCCACCCTGCTTGCAAATCATGTCTTTCTATTGTTAAAACTCTAGTATTTTTCAAATCCATCCAATCTTTTAGCCAAGTTAAGCTTGATGCTTGGTAGTATATTTCCCACTCTGGTAATGCCAATCCCCCTTTATCTTTGGTATCTTGCAAGAGTTTTAATTTAATCCTGGGTTTTTTCTTTTGCCATATAAATTTAGTGATCAATTTATTTAATTCTTGAAAGAATGTTTTCCCTAATTTTATTGGAATAACCTGGAACAGAAATAATATTTTTGGCAATACATTCATTTTGACTGTAGCGGTCCTCCCTAAAATTGAAATTTGCAAATTTTCCCAATTTTCTAAATCTTTTTTTATCTGGTGTAGTATTTTATCATAATTGTCCTCCTTAATCGAGGAGCATTTCGCTGTAAGCCAGATTCCTAAATATTTTATTTTCTTGGTTATACTTATCTTTGTTTTATCTTCCAATTTCCTTTCTTGTGCCTTTGTAAGATTTTTTGTTATTAATTTGGATTTATTCTTATTAATCTTAAGTCCGGCTACCTCACCAAATTCTTCTATTTTTTGAATCAATTTAAAGCCGGTTTCTAATGGATCTTCCAAAATAAATACCAAGTCATCAGCAAAGGCCTGGACTTTATATTCTTCGCAAGGAAACATTTTAACTACTCTGATCCCTGTTGCGGTTTGAAAGCTGCTTTCTGGGGTGCACGTTTGGATGGAAATCTTCGAGTCTCATTTAAAACTTTGCTAACAGGTTTGGACTACCTGATCGTAAATCATAAATCATTTTCAGCCTAGCACCGTTATGTAACCTGGGCCGATCCTGCCTGCCTGAGGGCTGATCTCTTTTCTTCAAAACGTAAAATACTGCTGGGCTACAATTTCTCTGCCCCATTCCGAAATGCACATATAATGTAAAGATAATGGGATACCTCTGAAATGAATTTTAGATAGGTCTGTTGCTAAAGCAGTGTTTCTCGAATTTTCAGCTTTAAGATGTGTGGTCTTCAATACATACTGGCTGAGGAATTCTGGGAGTTGAAGTCAACATATCTTAAAGCTGAAAATTCGAAAAACACTGCTAATGAATAAAACCCTGCTTGAGCGGGAGACCCTTACAGAATTAGAACTGGAAGGGACCTTGGAGGTCTTCTAGCCCAGTGTTTCCCAAACTTGACAATTTTAAGGCATGTGGACTTCAACTCCCAAAATTCCACAGCCAGCAACACTGGCTGTGGAATTCTGGGAGTTGAAGTCCACATGCCTTAAAATTGTCAAGTTTGGGAAACACTGTTCTAGTCCAATCCCCTGTGCAAGCAGGAAATCTACACCATTTCAATCAAATGGTTGTCCATTATCTTCTTCAAAACCAATGATGGAGCACCCACAATTTCTGGAGGCAAGCCGTTCCACTGGTTAATTGTTCTCACTATAGGGAAATTTCTCCATAGTGCTAGGTGGAATTTCTCGATAACTTTCCGTCCATTATTTCTTGTCCTGCCCTTTGGAGAATAAGTCGACCCCCTCTTTTCTGTAATAGTTCTCAAATATTGGAAGACCCTAGTCCAGTGATGGCGAACCTTTTAGAGACCGAGTGCCCAAAAAACGCCCCCCATCCCTGCTCTGCCCTGCCCACTGGGCCACCCACCACCTCCACAACCTGCCACAAATCACCCAGGCAGCCCAGCAGCGCTATGGCAGCCACGCCCTCCGCCCATGCCCCGCAGCATCATCTGCCCGCGACGGGCGCAAGGACAGTCTTGTCTCCGCTGCCCCGCTACCATGTCCTTGACTGCGCTACTTCGCGTGGGCTGTGCCCAGGGGCAACTCTCCTGGGGAGGGGTATGCTGGTCAGTAGAGGGCAGTGGGAGGAGGCGGGGCTGGGGAGACGGTGCATATGCCCACAGAGAGGGCTCTGAGTACCGCCTCTGGCACCTGTGCCATAGGTTCGCCACCACTGCCCTAGTCCTCCTTGTTACACTAGACGTACCCAATTTCTGCAAGCATTCATCGTATGTTTTAGCCTCTAGCCCCTAATCATTATAAAACTTAAAAGGATGTTTACATAGGAAGTTCACGTTTCATTTGTTGGATCAAACATGGAAAGAGGAAAGTGAAGAATTCTGCATTTTTCCAGGGATTTTACTCAACAGCGACCATGCTGACACGCCATTAAGAAAGCGTACTCGTTAGTTCTTTCTTTTTCTGACACGGGAACCCGGAAGCATTTAAATTGGAAACGGATACCTTCACTCTTTATTTTCCTACCTCAGCGACTCTTCCTCCGAACGTCACGTCACCGGAAGGAACCACCCAAAAGAATGTTCAGGCGGCCAATCAGGATCGCGTTTGGAAAGATGGCGGCTTTCAGGGACCGTGGGTTCTCCGCGAAGGATGGAAGCGGCGACGTGGCGCGGGTGGACTCGGGTCTCCTGTTGCATCCAGAGTTGCTCTCGCAGGAGTTCTTACTGCTAACGCTGGAGCAGGTAGCGAGAATGGGAAGGGGGGGCAAGCGAAGGAGGGAGGACGCCAATTTCCAGGGTCTCCGCGGACATATTTGGCTTTCCCGTAGCCCTGGTAAAAAGGGATTGGCCTCCTGTCCCGCTTTAACACCACGTTCCTGCCTAGACTGCAGGCTGGCATTTTCCCTTGCCGTTGGTAGGAACGCAGGCATGCAACTCAGTAGAAGTTTGCTCCCTAAGTACATTGACTACACGTAGGGCAGTCCTTTATTTCAGAATTATTTTAATTATTATATGAATTAAATAATTTAATTTACTTGCTTTTTCTTTGTAAAGTAACGTTATAATCATAAACAATTTTTAAGTTGTTAATCTCTCTATCTTGCCCACTCCCCCCAGTTGATCTCCATCTTTTGCTTCCTGCTGCTTGCAAGGTGTTCCTAGCATGGAAGTAAAGTTGAGAGCAGGGTCAGGAGAACCAAGACTATTGAAACTGCCATTGTTAAGTAGTGTGATCATGTGGTATTTTGCCTAATAATTGCATTGCTTAACAATGGACATAATGATTCCAATTAGGGTCGTTAAACAAGAACTACATGTATCTCCTCTGTTATCAACATGATACCTAATCTTGCAGATGTATAACATGTAAATTTATCACAGCACATAATAGACGTCTTTTGGGTTTGGGTTTTTTCCCCTCTATGTTAACCAGCAGCATGGTGTGATGAGAATAAGGAAACATGTAGCTTCTCTTGCTTCATTTTTGTTCCATGTAAAAAATTTGCCACCTTTCTCCTAGAAGTGTAAAATGTATGGGTAGAGTAACCAGAATTTTTATATTATGGAGGCCTTCCCTCATATTTGATAACCAGCTAGTGTTATTGAAGATAGCTTCCTTCTGCTTTTGTAAGTTTGGAGTAAAACGTACATTCTGTGTGACAAAAAAAACCCTGACCTGTAAAATATGCCAGCAAACCTGTGGTGATTTTCTTTCTGTTGTATTATACAAAGTATATTGCTACACATAGAATTGCTTTCAAGCATAATATGAACCATAATATTCATAATATGAGATAATTTCTATTGTTTTTCATCAGAAGAATATCCCAGTAGAAGATGAGGTGAAAATCAGTAAAGATGGCCTTACTGACTTATATATTCAACATGTCATACCATTGCCTCAGCGTGATTTGCCTAAAACCAGATGGGGAAGAGCAGTAGAAAAGAAAAGAGGTCAGCAAGTGTTGAAACATGGCACCCAAAGGTAAATTTGTATTGTTTATAGTATTTGGATTCTCTTCAAAATCTTTCAAAGTCTGTAACATAACAGGAAACCACCTTATCTTGAGTTAGCCAATATTATTTCCTACATTTTAATTTGTTATTATTAGATTTTTGTCCTATTTTCATTATATATAACTCAAGGCCATGATATTCCTAAGAGCGAGTGACTGCCCCAAAGTTACCAGCTGGCTTTTATACTTAAAGGAGGCCTAGAACTCGCCTGCTTTCTAGAACAGCACCTTAAATCACTATACCAAACTTATTATTTGTAACCTCCCCAAATGTCTTTCAGGTAAAGAAACAATTGTAAAGTAAAATACAGTAGTAATTGATAACTAACAGAGAGCCCATTTCTGCAATCCTGAAAGGGCAGAAGAGGTAATTACCCTGTAAGTCAGAGGGGAGGAAGGGAGTCTACTTGAGCAGGCCTGAGGGGGGGGGTTACTTGGCTCTTTGAGGCCCACTTTCCATAGGATAGTTGGTTGTAATGGACTTGGACAGCGCTCAGCTAAGCAACACTCCTTAATGCTCTCTGTGATTTCAGACACTCTCAGCTTTATCTGAGAAAAAGTCTGCTAATTTATTCTTTTGACCTATTCTTTGTCAGATAAATAAAACAACTATTTTGTTGTTTGCATTGGAAGTTTAATGTTATACATCTTATTATGAAAAGAAATAGGAAGTCAACAGTCATAAATTAGCACTGGGATCAAGACAGGGACAGCATGGAACCGCTTTCACTTAACTGTACATAGTATATTTCATGCATTACCCAAGTACCTAACTTTCTCCAGGGAATTAAGTCAATAAGAGGTGTGCCATATACATTTACATATATGTAGGGATGTGGGTCTATACATATGTTGTTCATAGTATGTTTAGGTGTGTGTCATGTATGTGTTGCTCCCTTAGAACGTCATTGATTAATTGCATAAAGACTGCAGGGCCCCCTTGTAATCCAAATGGCAAGACTTTGAATTGATAGCACCCCATGGGGCAGTTAAATGCAGTCTTCCATTCGTCCCCTTCCTTGATTCTCACGCGATAGTAAGCTTCCCTTAAGTCTAGTTTAGAAAAAATTTTCCCTTTCGATAGGTGTGACAGCATGTCTTTCATGAGGGGCAGCGGGTATAGGTTGCTTTCACTGATTGTGTTCAGGGCCCTATAATCCACGCATAAACGTAAAGAGCCATCCTTCTTCTCTCTAAAAAGGACCGGGGCAGCCACTTTAGGCTTAGCTGGTTCAATGAAACCTCTCTCCAGGTTTTTTTTTATAAATCTTTCCATTTCCTCCTTCTCCTTTGGGCTCATGGAGTATAATCTGGGCTTCGGGAGTTTTGCCCCAGGCTTGAATTCAATGGTACAGTCTGTGGGTCGGTGGGGGGGAAGCTCATTCGCCCTCTCCTCACTGAAGACTTCAGCAAGGTCCCTATATTCCTCTGGTATTTCTGTTAATCTTTTTTCCTCTCCTATGGATGCTTTTTCTATTCTTGATTCTGGTAGCCTCCCTTGGGGTTTTAAGTCCATAGGGTCCCCCTTCGGGAATTTGATTTCTGTCGTCCTCCAATTTACCCAGGGGTTCCATTTTTTCAACCATTCCATCCCTAGAATCATTGGGCATTCCATACCTGGGGTCACCACAAACGTTAAGTCCTCTTCATGGTTGCCCAGGGAGAGGTGTATTGGCAGAGTGGCTAGGGTAGCTGGCACCCCCCCTGCTATGGATCCATCTAGCTGGCCAAATGAGATTGGTTGTTCCAGTCTCCTGGATGGGATGCCCAGATTCCCCACTAGTGTTGGGCTAATGAGGCAGCGGGTGCAGCCAGAGTCTATTAAGGCTTTCACCTTCACAGCTTCGGGCATGGGGGGGATTAATATAGTCACTGTTTTGAAGATGGGTGTGATGCGTCCACTTACCAGGGGTTCGCCTTCCGAGCTGTCATCTGAGGCATCCACCGTCCCTGTGGTGTAGGCTGGAGTTCTTTCCCCTTGGTGAGCAGAGGTGGGGTTTTCTGCAATTTCCATCATTTTCATGGCTGTTTCTTTTGGCTTAGCTGAATACCCTCTGGGTTTGTTGATTGGGGATCTGTCTGGGTTGTGCTGGGGGGCCTTTGAGCGGCATTCTACAGCTCGATGCCCTTCTCTTCCGCACTTGAAACACCCCATCTGCTTCTTGCTGTATCCGATGATTTCACCGGTTGGTGTGTCAGCTCAGGCGGGGGGCGGCTCCATTGTTTTCCTCGGCGATGCCTCTTCAATATGTCGATCTCTGCTTCCTCTGCCAAGACGTACCATTCCTCAAGTCGATGTGGGTCTCCTCGGGGCAGGCAAGCATCATATAGATCATAGTTTAGTCCGTCTTTGAAACGGCCAAGGAGGATGTCTTCTGGCCAATTCAGTTTGCTGGCAATGGCTCGGAATTCTTGTGTATACTCAGCCACTGGGCGTTTGCCCTGCCTCATCGTTGTTATTCTTTCACGGGCTTTGCGATCAGCCAGGGGGTCTTCAAATCGTCTTCTCAAAGAGGACATGAAACGGTTGAAGTTACTGAGTTCTGGGGCATTGGAGTCATGCAGGTTCACCACCCAATCTGCAGCTGGTCCATCCAGGGCAGATTGCACGATCCGGATGCGGGCTTTGTCGCTGGGGATGTCCTGCCCATATTCCTCCATGTAGCTGAGGACTTGGGTTAGGAAAAACCCCAAGCGTGTTGGCTCCCCTTTGAATTTCACCTCCAACGGTGGACGTCTTGGAATGGATCGGTGCCTCCATTGTGGGTGGTAGTGTCTTCCGTCCAGATTTCCATCTGTGGTCCGGTAGGGGGTGGGAGCTCCTGGATCAGTAAATGTCCCTGGGGTTGCAGGTTCCACGTCCCCCTCGGTGTCTCTCCCTTTGTGGCTCCAGGAACTGGGGCGGGCGTAGGGCTCAGGAATCTCCTCTCCTAGGGAGCTGAGAGTTCTCTTCATCAGGTCAATAGCTCTCTCTAGGATCCAGTCTGAGTACGGCATACAGCTTCCTCCCTCTTCACTTGCGTGCAGGGATTTCTCCATCTCCTGCTTCCATTCTGGTTGCTTGGTCCCCCGTCTCAGGGTCACTTTTCTTGATTCCTTTCCCCACTCGCTTTTCTTTCCAACGCCCATCGACCAGCGAGGCTTGTGGTCCTGTGTCTCCACCACTTCTTCTTCTGAGAAATCTGGCCTCTCGGATCCCAACATCTGGCAAGGTTCCAACTGGGTCAGCGGCTCTCTTTCCAGGGAGTTTTCTCCCTCTCTTGCTTCGTTGTCTGACATGGTAAATTTTTGCAAAATCCCCCGGCAAGGGTCTACCTTCCAGGTGGATTAATTTTGCAAGTCCTGTCTAATGTAAGGACCCACCCCACTTTGCATCTTAAGAAGACAGAACTCTTGGAATAATTCTTCCAACAGGAATCCTTTATTAAGAGAAAATGGTTGCAGGCATGCTAGACAGGACTTGGGGTTCAAGCTCTCCCATTCAAGGTTTTAAGGGGTTCCCCAGTAGTCCCACCCAATCAACCCCCCCTTCCAGTGATAGTTTCAAGTATCACAATTCCATCCCCTTTCTTCTTCCGTCTGGATGGAGACTTCAGATAACTACATGAAAGGCAATTACTCTTCTTTGATATGTTAACGCTTAGAGGCCACAATAAACACACATTCAGTCCTTTGAAGTGTGCTGAAGGAAGTGAGGGCCATAAAGCCCCTTTGCTCTCCCCCTTTTCTCCCTCTTATGGCAGAATCCAGAGAAGGCAGAATTGGGAGTTTCTATGTTTGATAATTAAAGATGAAATATAATTGGATTCTGACATTTGATGTGTGCCATTGTGCCCACAGTATAAAAATGACAATAAAGGTTATCTTATCTATCTTATCTTAAACTTCATTAAGCAGGCTGTTTCTCCAGTTGTAGTATCTTATCTGAAATTGGTGGTATAGATGCAAATCATAATTAAAAAGAATTCCAGAATCAGTTCTGGAAAAGAATCTTAATACACTTCTAAACAAATACATTAGTGTTCAAAAGTGATTGATGCTGAAGCAAGGAATTTAATTGTGTGGGCTCTGGAATCTTAGCCAAAATTATTGTTTATCTTTGAATTAGTCTTTAGAGAACATATGTACAGATTTGGGTTATTTCAATTTGGCTTGTCCAGTTCATTTTGTTTTGAAATGATTGGTCTCTTCTTTGTTCTTAGATTGGATTAATTGTGAAATAAATGCACATCTGAAGATACAAAAGCACTGCCATTTGTGTGAGGTTTATTCCTCATCAGTTTGGATAGCTACAATTGTGATCTGAGTATGCATAGAAGGGGCATATTGAAAAAGACTCAACTTTTTCCAAATAACTATTAAAATGGTTTATTATTTAGAATGCACTAATCATTTTTGTTTCATATCTATGATGATTTTTTATGTTACTTTTTCTTGTTCAGCATTATGGCAATGGAAAGTTTAAGAAAAAGGCCCCTCATTGTGTTTGATGGTAGTTCAACAAGTACAAGTATTAAAGTGAGGAAGACTGAGAATGGAGTTGCTGATGGTCTAAAATTCCTTACACCTGAAAGTACCAATATCACATGTAAAAGCTTGGCTGTTCCTTCAAATTCCAGATTGTGCATATCTGCTCCCACTTTCTCATATAATGAGGCTAAACAGAACAATATTGTAATTAATATGTCACCTGGTCAAAAGTTACCAGCTTTAGAGCCTCTTACAGGAACTAATGTGACATTAAAGAGAGCTGCTCCAAAAGAAGAATTGGATTCCTCAGTAAGTATATCTGTACTATTTTATGAGATCATTCTTGAATTATGTCCCAATTAATGTCTCAGTAGTTAGCAGCTGCCATTTTTAACAACAGAATTCAAAATTACAGCAGCCTTTTCCTGTCTTAATTTAGTTCAAGAAACCAGTAGACTTGTTCACTATTACCAGATTGTTGTGTTATCTTGATAGAGTTTTATTGTTGTTAAAAAATAACCCTCAGATGGCACACAAGTAATATTATTTGCTCTAAAAGTGTTTTACAAAAATCTGTAAAGATAATTATTTTAGAAATGACATAATTTGGGGGGGGGGGTATTCTGAAAATCTTGTGCCATCTGTTTTCTAAGAAAAAAAGTTTTTCTTTTGGACACTGATATATACTGAGATATATACTGAATAATCCATACTCTCCCTCCCCATGTTCCAAATTCTCATTCTCTGGGATCTTAAAATATGTTAGCTGTCAGGCGCAAGCAATTACTAGACCCACTCTATCTCCCTTAAGAAATGGCAGATGTAGACCTAAGACTTTGATCTCAGACTTTTCCTCTCTGGAAGATTCTAAGTTGGAATGTATCTTTACTCCCACTAGAGGGCCCCCCTTCCCTTCAGCTGGTGGCTCTACCACATTAGCTTAAGGAAGTTTACAGAGAGAGACTGCCTCTTCTACTTTGAAGCAGCTGTGCTGCCTCAAGTTGTGAGCTCTGTGGGATGGAGCACAGAGGTTTATAGAGAAGAATGTGAAGCCTGCTGAGGAAAGGAGACATTAGTGTGCCAAGACACCCCGTTTCACGTCTCACATAGTCTTATGTGGGATCTCTGTTCTAGAAACACTGCAACCTATGTCCCTAACACACTTTCCACACTTTTCATTGCATCTGCTTCATTGCAGTCTGATGACCGCAAAAAGTGAGAGAGAATAAATAAATAATACAGTAATGATAAACTAATTGTAATTATAAATACAATTGTAATGATAAATTAATTTGGGATAAATACTAATATTTCCTTTATTATGCTCAGTCCGGACAAGAATCTAATATGTTATGGAAAACTGAAGTCCTTTTTAAAGATTTCAAAACACCTTTGTTTTAACTACTAGATGGAAACAGAAATCAAGTTTTGGCTACTTTAACATGTCTCCTTAAATAATTTAATTCTTTTCTCCATTCAGAAGCCTCCTGAATCAAAAAAGAAGATCCAGCATGTAACCTGGCCATGAACCTACAAGAGTTTGAAATGTAAATGATGCTTAGTCTTCATTTCAGTGCAGAAGAATTGTACTAACCAGAGACGCAGATTGCAGTGGGTAGTTGCTTAGAACTTCACAGTATGAAGAAAGCACCATATGTTCACCATCAATCTGAGAAAATTTATGTTGCACTTTGAATTTCCTCTCCATTTTAGAAGCTCATTTTGGTAGAACAAAATTATTTTACCAGCCTTTCTTCTGCATTTTTAACTATAGTCTATTGATCAGGTCTTTGCATGATTTGATAGAGAAAATTTCTAACTGTTCAGTTGTACAACAATATATTTTTTAAACATATATATTTAAATAGTATGGAAGAATGTTTCCCTATTCTGCTGATTTTACTAAGATATTTGCACAGAATGGTTCTGTTGAAAGGCCTAGAAAAAATAGTTCTCATTCTTAGGTGCCAAAATTTTTTTTTAGAAACTGTTTGGGTCCTTTCCAGTTTTCTTTAGATGAAACTCTGAACTGTGTGCTGGTATTGCTTCAAATTGAAGTTTTTGTTAAAATGGAAGATCAAATGGATTTCTCTTGTCTTTAGAGATACATAGGCAGAAGGCCTCCCACCCTCAAGTTTGTGTGTTGAAAAAAAAAACTCTGAAACAGAACTGCATTTTTTTACAGTATGTGACCAGAATTTTATACTATACTTGCATTTTTAAGGAAAACTTATTTAACTACCAAATGCCTGACAAAATTCAGAAGGAAAGTAATGCTTGCTCTATTTATTTATTTATGCAACTAGAAAAAAGATGAACTTATCATACAGAGAACATTCAATGGAAGTTTGCAGGGATTAAAGTTCTGTCTGTGAATAAATTCTTTGAAACATTTTTTTTTTTTGTTATTTGAAGTACAAAGCATCCCAGAGGTTAAAAATATTAGAATTATGTTTCTATACATGAGTTTTATGTCATTAATGAAATTGCATTAGTTAAAGCAGTGGTTCTCAACCTGTGGGTCGGGACCCCATTTGGGGTCGAACGACCATTTCATGGGGGTCGCCAAACCATGTTGTCCACCATTTTGTTCCCTTTTCCCTAGCTGTCCTACTCCCTCTTATTGGTGGCCACGCCCACTTGGGGTCACCACAACATGGGGAACTGTATTATGGGGTCACGGCATTAGAAAGGTTGAGAACCACTGAGTTAAAGGCTCTGAAGATGCTGGCAGCATTTTGGTGATACAGATAATTTAGTTTCAAAACCTGTAAATTTTAGCAGTTTCTTCACAACACAAAGCAGAAGTAAAGTGAAATATAATTGCTTGTTGTATTGGGGAAGAAAAAAACAAATTACAAAACTGAATACATTTAAGTTGTGTTGATATCACTAAGGTAGATAAAATACATATCACTTCTGAACATTTGTGAGATTTAGTCCACGGTCCTGTATTCTACTGCTTCACAGTAAATTTTATTTAACTTAAGTTTAACTATTCATTCTTATGATTGCGTTCACTGACATAATTTCCATTGCCTCCATTATGCCCCAAGATCTCACAGAGCACTTCAGAATATAAAGGATGGTATATTGAAGTGTAGCTGAATTCACTTCTTAAACAATTGTGCAAGTTTTCTACTTTAGTACTGTATACAATTTAATTTTCGGTTTTTGTATTTGAATTGCTGTCATTTTATTAGCTTATCTAAATTAAATTAATTTAAGTGTGATCTCTTGTATAGATCATCTTTGTGCTATAGTTTATCTTTTTTGTTAGACTGATTCAACTGAGTTTTTTGTATAATAGAATTAAGCACCTGACAACACTGTTGCAATACTGGAAACATTTAAATATTCTTTATAAGTGGCATACAGTAGCTTTAGTCTGCGCTATAAATAACTTTTTTTTTAATTTAGCACTTTTGATCTTAGCTTTATTTTATTCTTTGAAATGCATCTTTGGTCAGTACATATATAAGGGTTTGTAATTCATTTTTTAAAATCTGGGTATGTTCTATATTATTAGGAATTGCAGTATATATTCCAAACTAGTAGCTCCCAGTCTTTATTTTTAGATTCAAGTAAAAAACAATTATGCTTACAAAGACCATAAAAGACAACTTCCTATATGGTCACCATATGTTCTTACTAAAAATAAAATAACACAATAATTGTGTTCCTGTCATGAAGGTGATAGAAAGACATAGAATTTCAGATTCCAAAGGTTTTGTTTACATGTAACTTTTAGTAATGATTATTTGGTGAAGCAGGATTAAAGATATCTGGGGAAAGGGCAGGAACTGATACAAAGATCTGAATTATTAATTATTTGTATGTTTTTAAACATACAAATATTTTCAAAACAGCAGCTGATCATTTTTGAAAAGGTACATCTTTTAGAATAGAATTGAGATAGTAAACAAAGTGGGATTATTCAGTAAACAATCCTTAAAAACAACATGAACTAATTTTGCCATCCTAATTGAAGCCCAAGGGTATTGCTAGTAACTCCTGCTATGAAATAAATGTGTAGGAGTCTCTGCCCTGAAGCCCAGGTATTAAGGGTCATGTTGGTTTTCTCAGAAATGTAATTTCATGTAGCCACCCCACTGTGCATTTTGGCTTCTCCACGTGTAGTATTTTCTTTCTGATCCAGTGTTAAGGAAAATCATGTTGACATGCACCTTGCTTCTTTTTTTCAATTTGCTCTAGATTGAGCATTGTGATATGTTAGGAAAGGGCAATGTAGCTAATGTGAAAATTGTATTTTTTGCATTTCCATCCCACATGAGATCAGAGGATAAAAGCATAGAAACAACCCTTTTACTGGTCATTATCTGATTGGTTTTAGGATGATAGTGAAAATGTTACTCTGCTGGGTTTTTTATAAAGATGTTTGGGAGTTTTTATGTATTGTTTTTATTGTGCTGTTTGTTCTGACCAGAGTCTTAGAGCAGTGTGGTTCAGACCTATGCTATAATTCATCTATCTCCAGTTGCCTTGAATTTTGGCCATGTCCGTGGCTGCCAATCACGATTGCATGGGCTCAGTGCAGCTCTCAAGGGAAAATAAGTTCTTCCTCCCTGAGCTGGGAAAGAGATTTAATCTGTGCAATAACTGACGTCCAGAGAGATGAAGCCTAATACTCCTGTTCAGCTGCATTTTAACGCACCTAATCAAAGAATCTCATTTATTTATTGATGTGTATTTCTCAATAAAACATTAACTGAGTAGATTTGTAAAGAGATTACACAGTGAATCACCTGTTAGATGAACAGCTATTACAATCAAATAAGAAAATGCATCAAATAGACATAATGCATTATCACAATTACAACAGCACAAGAAATAGAATGGAAGGTAAATTTGCATTGTGCTCTGTTATTTCAGGAGATTAGGGCAATTACATTTCTCCATATGAGGTAGTTAACTCTGTCACATATTATAGTTTGATATAGTTTGTAATGGTGAAACCAATATAAAATGCTTTGATTTTATATTGGTTTCTGAAAATCGGCTTCTTTTAGAAATCAGCAGTTCCTCTTTTTATGTAGATTCATATTTTTAAAGAGAAGGATTCTACTCAAGCTTTACCTTAATGGTTAACGTTTATTAAAATGTCCAAATTCACAAAAAATACAACACTTTGCTAGAAATACATTTATTACTTTGCAATCTCTAAGGTGCAATGAAATTTTAAAAATCTGTTAGGAATAAAAATGTATTTTGTGCAATGATCTTGAAACATCCTAAAATAATGTGTTGTATATTTGCATTTATTTGGAAAGAAGTCCCATTCAATGCTGATGAAGAAAATCACATTCTTTAATCATTCTTTTTAAGGTACGGCACAAATATTGTATTACTGATCTGTACCTAAATTAATCTACATTATTATCATCTATACATTTGTGAACTGGAAAGTTTAAATATTGATTCTTCCTCCACCAATACTTTAATTAGTGGCAATTGTAATTCTTCAGGAAGTCTTATTGTATCTGACAAAGAGAAGATTATAGTGTTATCTAAATCACCCAAATTTTGTATTGGTTGTTTGGATTGAGGAATGAGAAGTATTACTTGATAACTAATATAATAAGAATTACCTTTTCTCTGTTATATCTACTCCAATATATTTCTACAGTCTAAAAAGAGAAAAAAGTTAGGTGTAATGCCTACACAAGTTTAAGAATATGGTTCTCCCTGTTAGCCAGGCTCCATCATCCAGACCAAATCTTTTTATTCCTGATCTCAGCTAAGCTCAGATGTCTGCACAATTTAAAACCCTGCTGCAATTGCTCCATAACATCTTGAATATATTCAAGTGATGTTTTTACTTGCTTTCAAGTGAATATGAGTAAAAAAGTCTCTTTCAAATGAGTTAAACTCCTTGATGACTTAATGGAGATGGCCTTTTCTTTTCATCAATGCCAAAGTGGCTTGCCACTGCCTTCCTTCAAGATTTTGTTTTTTAAAATTCTCAGTCAAATCTATAGCCTTGGAATTTCTGGAAGTTTCCTATTCAAATATTAATTAGCTTTTCAAGATCAGCTGACATTGGCTAGATTCTGCCACCCAGCTGGTCAAACTTGAATAGATGCTCTCAGATCTGCTCTATGAAGGGAGGCTGAGGTTTGAAGTATGAGCTCTAATGTACAATAGGTGTGACCAGTGTGATCAGCAATCATGGCTCTGTTTCCTTTGTATATATTAGTATATTGTGTTCAGGCCTAGCACCCAAAAAGAGCTAGTGTTAACTATTAATATGTATTGCTGCGAAAAAAAAAATTACTTTTGATCAAAACTCATGCACATCATTATATTAGAAAACATGTATTGTAAATACAACTCTTTCCAGAAATGTTTTTCATCTTTTAAATGTCTTTCCCACACTCGGGACAGAGGATGTCATCTCTTTCTGTGAGGAAACCACGGCCCACCAATGATAGGGAACATTTCTTGCAGTTGAAACAATCATTGTGCCATTGCCGCTCCTCAAAAGAAATATACTTAGTACCACCAAGCCCTGAAAAGAGATGTCATGAGAAAAAAAAGTGAGGCACATCAGTGTGAAGTCATTGGAATTGCATCTTGGGTTATGAAGCAACCTTTTCTGATCTATCTCCCAGATATGTTTGACCATGGCTTCCAAAGAGGAAATAGCAGACTGAAGATGGCTCCAAAGAGCAGAGGCAATGACCACATTGGACTGAATAGCCAATGAGTAGATTGGTTATTCAATAATTACATAACATAGGCACGTACTATCACATTTGGTGGACATGTGGTAAGGCTAAGGCTTATTGGAGAAAGATACATATGTGGTTAGAAAAAATATTGGGTGAACAAGTTGATTTTAAACCTGAACTTTTTTTACTAGGTATGCTTGAAAAGACTAATAAGTAGAAATTATATTTAATCTTACACATCACCACAGCAGCGACAATAATTTTTGCACAATACTGGAAGTATGAAGGATTGCCATCAGAAGAAGAAATAATCAGGAAAATATTGGAATGTGCAGAGATGGACAGATTAACTATGAGGTTGAGAGATAAAGAAGATACAAACTATTATCAAACTTGGGACTTATTTTATTGTTGGCTAGAGGAAAGAATGAAGGATTAGGAATTGAACATGTATTAGCATAGCTAATTCCAGACAACTCGTTGATTGGAAAAATTAACATGTTTATGAAAAAAAACCCCAATAAAATCTTTATAAAAAATAAATAATTCCTCTCTAGATGAGAGAGGACTTGAGATTGTCCATAGTTGCTCTAGAGTAGGGGTCTTCAAACTTGGCCCTGGCTGAGGAATTCTGGGATTTGAAGTCCACAAGTCATAAAATGGCCAAGTTTGAAGACCCCTGCTCTAGACAGCTGCTTATTGTGAGAAGACTGCACGACAACAGCCTGCACCAGGTTTAGAGCCCTCAGAGACAAGGGAACAGATAGCTTGCTCAAACTGCAGTTGACATCTTTAGTTTGTATACTTCCATGCTACATTTTTGGAAATTGTTAACTGCTTTCCAGCTATTAGGAACATTTGGATCAACACGTTTCATAGAACCAGGTACATTTCCTTCAATCCTTTTGGAATTAATTATAAAAAATCCTTATGGGAATATGCCTTAATGATTAAAATTAAAAATTAAAAAAATTGGACACTAGAGGAAACTAGAAGCATTTAAAGTTTACAATCAAAGCAAAAGGATACTTAAATTTGCAATTCTAGAATGAAGCAAAATATTTTAACATTGGACATACTAAAATATATTTTTGAACAATGGACCCAGAAATTAATTTTTATAGTGTCTGCCTTTATAGAAAGACTGTCTAAAAGATATTATAGAAGAGAAACCTATATTTGACAAGAATGAGATGAATTGAAAGTGGATCGACAAATGACAGACTAAAGAATAATATGAAACTGACTGATGTCTTGATAATTAAAATCAAATAGAGAGAGAGACCTGGATAATTTT